ATTACATCTCTCTCTCTCTCTCTCTCTCTCTCTCTCTCTCTCTCTCTCTCTCCAATTAAAAGTTTTAAAAAGAAGATAAAAACTAACAAAAACTAATATAAAGTAAAGAAAGGAAAAGAGGAAGAGAAGACAGACAAAAGGGGAAAAAGAAAAGATGAAAAGAAATATAAAGAAGAATTTCTCTCTCTATAATTCCGATTTTCTCTCTCATGAAAGTCTGATCCTTGTTCATCCAGATGATGAAAAAGACTTTTCAATGCAGATGAATTTTCTGATAAATGTGAATATTTACTGTGAGATTACACACCTATGGAACCAAACATAGGCTATTTTCATGAAAGTTGTGTGCATGAAAACAGCATGTCATTCAGAACAGCACCCTTGCTGATTTCTAACACTAAACTCCTACATTTACTTATTACATTTAGATCTCATTTTTATTCTGGAATGGAATGGAAATCAATGGTTGGCCATGGTATACCCAGTTGGTTTCTTGCCTAGACTAGATTTAGCCCTGCTTAACTTCAGCAACTTGCCTGAAATATGTGCCATCAGACAATGGCTGAAAATCACTCCACTGAAATACTCAGTGTTCTTATCAGCAGAGGGCAATTGTTTCATTTCACACAAGAAATGGCCTGGTTATGCAGAGATTTTGTAAGAGTCATGTAATTCCCAGGTTCAGAGCAAACAAGTTTTTTTCTCTTTTGCTACATCTCTACATTCTTACCCTACAGTCTTCCAGACTGCACATGGGGACATCAGGGGGATGCTTAGTGGGGAAGAAGCTGCATGATCTCAGAAATCACCAATCAGGCAGTGGTGCTATTCTACTGCACCTCCTGCAGAAAAGGTCCCTCCTGACTATCTTTGGGTCTCCCAACGTGACTTTTCCCCCCAGCCTTTTGTGTTGTAATTGAAATAAACTTCAGAGCTTTTGTTCTTCTTTTTTAGTTGAGATGCAGAAAGCATTTTACACTGGCATCAGCTACAGAATTGTTTTTCTGGGTACTTAGAAAGCCAACAGAAATTGCTCTGGCTGCACCTAAGGGTAAGATGATGATGGTGATGGTGATGATGATGATGGCAATAAGAATGCATCCCATTTCTTCACATAGAAAAAGGGGATACAGTGGAAGATTTTGGTTATTGTCTTTGATGCAACTGCTTGATTCCTGGCAGTTGAATTACATGAATATTGATGCCTTCTCAACAAACAGAATGAAGAATATTTCTGGGGCCTCTATGCAGGCATTTAAATGAAAGTGCAGAAGCTGGCAGTTGGCCAATGACTCATTAAATTAATACCTTAAAGGAGCATCTGTCATGCTCTTTTCAGGAAATCTTGTGAGTCCTCATAAAAATTACCTGCAGCTACAGATTTGAGTGTTGCTGTGGCAACTCTATTCTTTTGACAGCTTGTCCTTGAGGCAAGGTGGTTGTGCCTTGCTCTCAGGTCAATCACCAGTCCTGTGAGGTCACACTGGACTCCTTAAAATATCTACTTAGTTATAGAACCTTGTCTCTACTACATGGTATCCAACCCCTGAAATCTTCTGACACTGAGAATGAACCCTAAGCAGCTTACTGGTTCTCACTGCACTGAACACAATCAATTTGCTTATGATTGCCTCAGATTAAATTACCTCCAGGGAATGTGCCTAATTATGTCTTCATTCATTTAAGTTCTGTTAGCCTCTTAAAATTTGCTGGGATTTCTTTTTCAGTAGCAAGTTATCTTTTTAGTACCATTGGCTTAACCAATAAATATTAACTACAGGCTTACAGCTCTTAATCCTTTACCTGAAAACAGTGAATTGGTTGACTATGGACTTGACTAATTTAATCAACTTTTTTACTCTGACATAAAGTACCTTTGTTTGGAATACTTTTGGAAAGCAAGACTGAAATGGTAGAATCACTGTGGGGAAAGAAATCATACAATATTGCCTTTTGGTTCATAAAGCAATGTATCAACAAAAATAAACAGGGAAAAAGCAGTAGGACAGCTGCCAGTTAGAAGAGAAGAAAATAGTGAAAGGCGAGGGTTATTTATTTTACCTCTCTGGCATCTGTAACGGTGTAGACATGTTGCTGTACAATTCCATCCTTCAATACTGGGCCAACTTGGGTCTTCTGAATGGGTAACAGAACAGTTTTACTCGAAAACATTTACATTTGGTCACACAAATAACTAGATAGTTTTATTTTGATGGAAATAAAAATATGAATCTCTTTTCATGGGAAAGGTGCAGCCACCGCTAAAATTATGGGTGCTTCCCCTTAGGACATGCGCTACTTATGGCATAAGCATAATTGAGTGAAATGCAGCTAGCTGAATAACTGTGACTTACCACCTGCTGTGCTTGATAAGCTCCCTATTTTTGAAGCAACACAAGCAGTCAAAAGGAGGTTACTGAAGAGCACTATAAAGCATCTGCCTTTTAATTTGCCTCTTCTGCTCTTGAGAAGGGATGATCTACTTTCCACTTTGGTAGAGTCAATTTTTGGAACTCATTCTTGTTCATGGGAAAGTTTGTTTTAGCCCAAAAAGTATTACCCAACTCAGCAGAGGCAGATGGGAATTGCATTTTTTTTAAAAAAATATAAGGTGATCAAAGACCTTTCCAGCTTTGTTTAACCTTTAATAAGCATGGTGAGTTTGTAGCAGCACTGGGCTTTTTATACACAGGCATTTGATTTTCTCTGGTGCTCCATGAAATGACCAGGAAATAGAGGAAAAAATGTAGAGATCTTTCTACAAAGAGCATGCTGCTGCTGCTGTATGCCAATCTTTTTGAAAGAAAGCTAGAAAAACATTCCTTAACAACCTTATACATCAGCCTTTTTCCACTTTTTTTTTTTATTATTATTATTATTTTGAGGGGGAATGAAAAATGCTAGCTAGGTTGTGCTTATCAGGTACTGCCAATTCCATAATAGATTTTTTGGGGACTGAAAATCCCAAATCCTTTCCTATAGGAATCTGGGGTTAAATTAATTTATATCTCTAATATGGGTGGTTTAGAAAAAGAAGAACACTCTGGACTCAGTTGTGGCTAGGGAATCCAAGTCCACCAATTCCTACTCAAGTAAAACACCAGCAATGGAAGATCAGCCAGCCCAACTTTCAAATAAATGCCATCTTATAAATGTCGACTCAAATAACTGAATTTCCTCTTTTCTTTTCCCTCTATTCCTCATCCCTTGTATGTCTTTTTAGATTGTGAACTGGGCTTAGAGTTTACTCCTGTTTTTAAACTGAAATGAGCTGCCTTGGGAAAGAATACTTAATTGAAGAGCAGAATCAAATATAGGAAGTAACCCTAAGCAAGCATGTAGGTATGTTGTTGTTGTTGTTGTTCAGTCGTTAAGTCGTGTCCGACTCTTCATGACCCCATGAAC